CAGCAGCCGCCGCAGCCCCGCGCACGCCCCCGCCTGCGCGCGCCGGCAAGCGGTTAGCAGCACAAGGCCCGAGGCTTGCGGTCTTCCGGTCTTACGGAACGGAGACCCAAACCTCAAGGCAAGCACAAGGGCGCTGCGGAGGCGACGTGACGTACTAGGGCACCTGAGCCTCTACTATATAAGGGAGTGCACAGCGCCAGTGGGTGGGTTCTGGAGACAGCGGCTGCACGTCGTGCAGGGGCATGCTCGGTGCAGCGGCGAGCAGGGCTCGCGAGACAAGTCACGTGTTGTCGCGCCTTTGGGTACTCAGTGTTTGTCACTTGGGTGACTGCGGTCACGCGGGAGCGATGCTGTGTGTGTGCTCCGAGGTGAGGAGTGGTTGAGTGCCACAACTCACGCCGATTCTCAATCGGATAAGATCGCTCCTGCGATCGAGGCAAACCATCAGTTGGTGCGCCTGTAAGGACTTTGTGTCCTAGTATGACATCCGGTCACGGAAGCTTGGCTTTGTGCGCGCTTCAAATGCAGGAGTGGCGAGTGCCACAATTAAAACCGATCATCAATCGGGTTGAGATCGCTCCCGCGATCAGGGGATAGAAATTCCATCAGGGCAAGGATGTAAAGTGAAAATTGTAAATATTTGTTCTTTTTCTTGTAAATAAATATTTGTTAATATGAAAGCTCTTGTGTGTTCTGTCAGTATCCATGACGCCACACTATACTACAATGTTACTTAACATTAACAACTGACAGTCGTACAATCGTTTCAGAATAATTACACTTACGCAATTGTATACAAAAAGATTAAGTGATTATAGTTTGTCTACTTTACATATAAACATACCTCGGTCATCTACCAGTATTTTGTAAGATGTTGTAATTTAATAGTGCCTGATTTAATATTCAGAGTATTGTCAGATTTATGTATATGCATCATATCACACAAAGACGTTTCATATAGTTATGTCCTTTATATTATAAATTCATCCCAGTTCATTACGTGTTGGTATTTAAACTTGTATTTAGTGAGAGTGTTGTGTGTATAGTGTGAGAGTTTGATGTTGTTTTCCCTTGTACCCATTAATTTCAAATCTACCGATGAGAGACTTGGACAATGCGTATATTAACAATCTTGATTTTACATCAGTCTTTTGTGCGAGATGTGTAAATGATATATTGTGTATTATACCAACCCAAAAATCAACAAACCTTCTCAAAACTATGATTCTAACCCAACTCATGAAGTGCAAAATAACAAACATTAATTACTTAGATCTAAACATTATTAATAAAAATAATGACAAAGCTATCACTAATTGGTATCAAAATACCACTGAGAGGTGGAAAGTTGTAAATGATCTTGCTAATCACTCCATGAAAAAAAATCAGCTGTAATAACATGTGGCAAGAAAGTATCTTAACACCGAGCCGAGTCATAGCCCCTATTATAAATTGCATTTATGTTTGAAGCAACGAGGATCACTTGGAAACATGTGAAGGGGACAACACTTCCAGTAACTGTTATGATTGTGGTGAGTGGTGAGCCCAATTTACGTTTTCTTTTGTTACAAGTAGCAGGTCCTGTTATAATTTTTGATGCTATAGCACTCTCAACAGCAAGGTGCTAGTGCGCAGGGACTTTCCTGACACACTGTATGTATCCTGCTTTTGACAAAGTCATCCAACCGTTACGTACCAAATTTCATTACAAAATTTAGGTAAAATATTTCAAATCCTTCAATCAAAGAATAAGATCTACCCGGTATTTTTGGTATATACAAAATGTGTTAAAATTCTAATGAATAAAATCATATTAGGAACAAAAAATACACAGTAGACAAGGATAATGATAACATCACCCCCTTCGCTGTTAAACAACGACGATGATTTTCGGGCGCCATATTATTAATAAGCATATTTTAAATTTGAACGTGGATGATCTTGTCTTTCTGAATGACGCAGCGTCGAAAGCTGAGGTGCCGACGTTTCGACCGACATATGGCGGTCCTCTTCAGGGCTGTACTGCGCCAGGATGTTGGGCGCTGCGTTTTCTAAAGAAAGCCTGTGATAGGCTAGGTGACTGCCAATCGGGCGCGGCCAGCTGGAACGGGATTGGAAGGGAGGGAAGGGAGCAGTCCGAGGTCGGACGGCATGGAGCGGTTCGGGAAGCTCAGGGATCGGACGGCATAGAGCAGTCCGGGCGCAAGTACTACATTCTGGCGCAGTACAGCCCTGAAGAGAACCCTGATATGCCGATCAAAACATCGGCACCTCAGCCTTCGACGCAGCGTCACCCGGACTGTCCAGATCATCCATGTTCAAAGGAAGCCTGCGATATCATTTGAACGAGGATGTTTTGAAGGGCATTACCTGGAAGCGCAGCGCGCCGCCGCCGGCCGCTGCCCGCCCCGCGCGCCGCAGGTCCTCCCCCACCACCTCCCCGAGCAGCGCGGTCACGTCGGCCACCGCCGCGCCCGCCGGGTTGTCCTGCGCCCACGCCTTGAAGCGGCGCAGCAGCTGCTCCGTGAGCCAGTCGGCGCGCGGCAGCGGCTGCCCGAAGGCGGCGTTCACCTCCTCCTCCAGCAGCGCATCCAGCTGCTCCACGGTGGCCTGGTGGCACAGCAGGCGCAGGCGCGGCAGGAAGCCCCTCTGGAACAGCTCCTGCACCTCCGCCGCCTCCTGCGACATGCACCCCCACACCTGCAACACAAGCGGGCAGGCGCTGAAGTGGCAGAGGCTATTTCCCGTGCCTCTACACGCTTCTCAGACAATCCATCCTGGACAGAAAACCCTGTGGGAACAGACGCCCCTCTGACTTCATCTCATTCAACAAACCGGAATATCTTCTCGAACTAAACCTCTCCTCCTGTGTCTCCTTGTTCTTCCATCTTTACGCGCTAGATATTGTTGCATATGCGAAATAATTTAGCCACCTCACTCAGCTTTTAACAGCTAGAATGTGCGTCTCTTGTTAGTTGGTGTCGAAGGCTAGCCTCTGAGCTCGTCTTCTGATGCGAATAATATGTGCACGTTTTGATGAACTCTGCTTTTGGTTGTAGTGGTAGGAGTAGAGGTAAGGGCGAGTTACTATTTTGCAGAAAATAAAACCTGCATTTCCTTCACTGTTGCAAATAAGTTTTCTTTAAATCGGGAACTAAAAGGTCTAGTGTGTCAAATGTCGCTAATCTCGCGCTTTTTAAATTTTATTTTTATTTATTTACCACTTACTTTTACTCATCCTTCAACTATTCATAGATACAATGAAAAGAAGGGATTTTGGAACTCGTGCGCAGATGACCTTCTCCCCCATACGACACATACAGGTTTTACTGTTTTTTAGTAAATAAATCTAAGCACTTCGTACATTCGCGCTGATATATTTTCATTTCGGCGAGTGTCGTCGAATTCAAATCCCATGTTTCTATTATTCTGTTGGGTACTCTGATGATCGTCTGTAAGTACGTGTCACCTGAAAAGTTCTGCCGGATTGGACACCTTATTCTCTAACGCAGGGAATGCCTCCAGTAATAAATAAATATTACTATCAGCATTGTTATGACGCTACTTGTTGGCTAATATGGAACTCAAAATTTACTGGCTACGTTTGGAACCTACTAACTGCCACATGTTGATCCGGATATCTCAGATAGCTAAGGCAGTAGTGTTGTGGCGATCTCGAATCGAAGGATCGTGGGTTCGAATGCCGCCTCAGGCTTGGTTATATTTGTAATCGTTCCTTCACGCTTCATTATCATACTATCACTTCATTAAAAGAAGTATTAAGAATTCCCTGCTCGAGCAGGAGGCCCTTGGTCTTAATGGGATGTGCAGTTAGCTAGTAATAATGTTCCATCTAGAAAATTCCTAGGAATTTTGCCCATGTTGGGGATGAACCAATGAAAGCGGCTTCACGTGCCGGAGCATTGCAAACGAAGAATCAACTAAGCCTACCACTTAAAGACCTCGCACCTGCTGGGCGGCGGCGGAGAAGGTAATTTTCTCTCCATGTGAGAATCTTGGACCACTATGTGGAAGGATATGAGACTGAGTGGAAGTACATTCCACTTTAGACGTCGTTCCTGCTTGGCAGTGGCGTCAAAGGAGAACCACTGTCTGTAACGCCATCACCGAGGGCGAACGCTCGCGCCTGATGAAGGTTGGGAGGTCATGAGCTCGATCCTCACCCGGTGCGTGATGCGCTCAGTGAGTGGTGCCCCCTTCCGGGCTCGAACTCGTGCGAGGCCTTCCGGGGTTTCCGTGGTTCCCTTGACCGTTTCCAGGCGTTTGCAGGTGCAGCGACCTACACTAGGGACAACGGACTGTGTGGGATATTTCCTTCCCAGTTCTTTCCCCTTTCCCCTACCTTATGACTGATCAATGGGCTGATCACAAACCCTCTTTCCCTGACCTAAAACCAATTTCCGTCTAGAGTACGACGCAGACCAAGGCAGAGCAAGTGCTGTTCAGCCATTTGCTTCGATGCCGTAACTATTAGCGTATCGGTCTGTTATATCTGTGAACAGTGGACGTTCTCAGGATCGAATCCTTTCGAAACTTTGGATTCTGAAGGGCGGAAACATCCTTTGGATGACTTTATTCGGAGGGGAAGTAAAGCCTGGTGTCCCTTGTAGTATACGTAGTATATTTACTTGTCCCATTTTACTGCGTTTAAAAGATCCTCAACCTCTCTGCAGCTCAAGAAGCCTCTAAACTAAATTTAAATCGCTTGAGTAACAATACCTTCTGAGTGGAATTTGCGTTGTCAGGCAAAAGAGCAGGCTTGATAGCCAGAGCCTCGCCACAGACAGTGCGGCGTCGTTGAAGTGAACCGAATAAAAGGAGGAAGAGCGTGCGATAACCGGAGCTGTCACCTTGGGGTCGCCGTCGTCGAAGGCGACGCTGCGCCCGCGGGCGTCGGTGTGCAGCACGTCCTCGAAGGGCATCTGGGCGGCGGGGGCGGGGCGCTTGGCCGCGCCGCGCAGCGCCGCCGGCGTGTAGATGACGAACCACACGTCCTGCAACGGCGTCGCGCACAGCAGCTGCTGGTCGGCGGTGAGCGGCGCCTGCCGCTGCGGGTCGTGCCAGCCATGCATCTCCTTGTACAGCTTGAAGTACTTGTGGAGCGCGAAATCGCCGCTGCTGCTCGTGAATGCCTGTGAAGAAGAGGGGAACCGCGTCTCACAAGCGATATTCGTGCAATCGAACCCCACCCCCAACCGAATTGCTTAAAATGATACAAGAATCAAATATCTCGTTTTACCCATGTTGCCCTGTAAACGTTAAAACAAAACCCTATGGTCATAGCTAAGTGATGAATTGAAAAAACAATTTTTACAAGATAATGAATGTTTGTTTCCATCGTTATTGAAATCATCAATCATCATTTATTTATTGCACGGCAATACTAGTTCAAGAAAGATTGTGTTTTATGTCACGTGATTGTTAATCATGGTTTACACTGCGCTGTGCAAAATTTCTAATAGATGATGACTTTCTCGCCCGTATGGGTTTGTTCTATGTCCAAGTTTAGGTATGGCCAAGTATCCTATAGTTAAAACGTTCTCCCTCCAATTTGGGTATGTGTTCGCTGACACTATCTTGGTGAAATTTTATTTTCTTGTCTGCGATTCAAGTAATAATTGCGGCCGATATTTCACAATCGCAGGGGCAAAACGCTTGTAAGCAGTGAAGAAGCGCTTAGTCCTTGTCTGTGCTGCGGGATGCGGGGCGTTCGGGTTAACATAAATGAATAAATCATCATCGACAACGCCCCCATATGTCCGATTTGATTCAAACCACTCTTTAATCACACCCATTACCCCAAGAGCAAATAGCCAACTTTATAAATAGGAAACACTAATAAATAAAGAATATTTTTCATAATCAGAATTACATTCTAAAAAAATGTTGGCAAAAATGATGAGAAGAGTGTTGTTCACAGATGGAGGAACATATGAATATACTAGGACGCCTTCTGAATAAAAAGCAACAAACTTTTCCGATATCAGAGTCCACCAAAATGTGATCTATATTTCCGTTAAAATGTCAGCATCAATTTTTTGCAACATTACTTAAATTGCTCTACACCACGTATACGTGAAAGTAAAATAACAATAATAAAAGTGGACCACATTCTGTAATGAACTCTATATATTTTTTGTAATTTATATTTACGATCTTTGGATTATATTAATAATTCTACTATTCATTTTATTTTATTGTGTTTTTGCATTACTTTCGTTTGGGTGACAAGTAAATTTCTAATCAAAAGGATCGAACATCGTCATCCACATGTAATTAATTTTTTAAAAAAATAAGGCTTGTAAATAAGCAGGTCCATATTTCAAACAGCGTTTAATGATTTTGTAGTAAGCATACTCAATGTCTTTGCGCACCTGCGAGGTGAGCTGCTTGCCCGAGTGCTTGTGCTTAAGCTGGATGGCCAGCAGCGCCGGCGCGGGGGCCAGCACGCGCACCACCAGGTCGTCGAAAGGCAGCGCGGCGCCCGCGTTCGAGAACATCTGAAAGCGCGCGCCGCGTCTGCGCAGGCGCAGAGCCAGCAGGGCCGCCATCTTGAACTCGTAGTCCGTGCCGCGGGCGTCCGCGCTGCCCGGCAGCCGGTCCATGGTGGGAGGCGGCACTGGGAGTTGGCTCCTGCGAGACGAGTAAACTTATTCACTTACCCCATCTCGATCAGGTTTTTGTCCAGTTTCCCTGATCCATTGACCAAATGCTGAGATGGCCCCTTGTTTTGTTTCTGGACGTAAACGTTGCTTCACTAGGCGCACGTTTTGTTGAACTCTCCTTTTGCTTGTAGTGGTAAAAGTAGAGGTAAAGGCGAGTTGCTAATTTGTTAGCAATGCAGAAAAATCATACTTGCAATTCGTGTACCGATGCAAATAACACAGAACGAAAATGAATATTTTTCAGATATTGCTAATCTTGCGATTTTTAAAATTTATTTTTATTTATTTATGCTAAACGTTTACTTATCTTTCAACTAAAATGACGGGAAGGCATTCTGGAAGTCAAGAAAACGTGCGCAGATTCTTTTCCCCCCTACGTAACACAAGTTTTTGTTTTACTGAATAAATCTAAATCCAAAACTTAAATTACGTTAGACATTTGTTATCATTACAATTAAATATCATTATTAAAATGTTTGGCTAGTTTAATAAGGCGTCGTAACAGTGGGTAGCAATTGCTATTCAGGAGACGTATAGGAATACGTCGGTCAAGTTAGCCTCGACGACTCGATAATGAAACGTGGATATACGTATTAACGTCATGAGGACGATATAGAGCAAATAACGGATGTATTTGAGGATTGTAGGCCCCGGAGTTAGCCAAGGTTTAAAAACACATATGTTTGTTACTTTTGATATCGACCGCACATTTTTCCAAACTTTTCATAATATAACTTTCCATTAAATAAAATTCATATGACTAACACCTAACAAGCATTAAATGGCAAGGGCTTCGGATGGAAATAATGGTATTGGGCATTTTGGAGGAACTCAATATTATTTATAAACATGTTTTTAAAGGCTTATTACAAGCTCGTCTGCAATGTGTTGATAGCCTGTACTTTTTCATAACCAAATCCCTCAAATGCAATACATTAATTAGATGACAAATATACGAAATGAATCCTAAATAATGTTACAATAAATAATTGATTGTACTCGTTTTTGCCGTATTGTCGTAGAATTACATACAATTGCTCTGACACATTCTTATAAGTCAAATAATGCGATATAGGCATTAAATGACTATTATCTTTACAATATGAATCCTAGAATATATTGAGATTTCTCTACTGACTTTCAATCACATGCCTTTTTGTAACTTGTGGAGCTGCAGTGCCACATACTTTCTCGCGTTATTGGAAACAGCTACGTAATATTGAAGTATTGCATTTTGTGCGCTACTAAAACATCAGCTACAATTAATTGATAACGTCCAATTCAAACAAAGCGCCTGTAATACATATCTGCATTAATTTTGTCAGACGCAGCAATCATTTACTTTGACAAACAAAATAAACAGGAATACATTTGACTGATACTCTTACAGTGTTCACAGTAAATTATGCAGGAAAGAGAAATGCATTGTTTCAAGCGAAGTGTTGTCAAAACTATAGGCGTTCGCTTGGCGAATAATATAATTTCTTTGCAATTTTCGTCAGAGACATTAGCCGAATCGATCCAAGAATATCAATTTTGGAGAACATCTGCTAGTGTTTTTATGCTGCTAGCGTTGTTTACAGACAGACATTTTGCCGACAATCGATTTTTCGATATCAAGGAGCCACAAAACATAGATTCTGGCTCTACCACGTGCTGTAGAATTTTTTTTTTTCGAAATTTAGCAATTGAATTTATCCACTTTTTCACTATCAGAGCCCGGTAATAAGAGTTTTTCTGCAGAAAATTCACTGTTTTATTCCCGCGGCATTACATAACTTTCTACCGGGGTAGTGTGGTAGTAAAAATATTTTTTCAGAGACAATTAAAAAGTAAATAACAACTCATATCCCCCTATTTATCTATTGCACCACAAGTATGTCTGTGGAATGTTGCCATGAATGTTCATGACGAACCGCTTTTTAATAAAAAATGTTATTTTTTATAGTTTTAAAAGTATCATTATGAGGAGACTCAGGAAAGAAGACCGAATTGAAATATTTATTTCCCCCTTAACTGCGTGCCTTCTATGATGCTCGTTATTTTCTACTTCTAGTTTATTATCAACAAATTAATAGGATAATCACTAGTGAAGCGAACACATTTTCTTCGAAAATATAAAAATTGATAATTCCCAATTCAAGTAGTAAATAGAGTTGGCTGTCTGATAAATGAGAATTTTAATACAGAAAACGGTACAGTGTTTATATATAGTTAGTGATACTTGCCCTTGTTCTTCATCAATGTTCTCCATTTTGATCTGAAAAGAGAAGGAAATATTACTCACTGGAAACTCATTAATCAATATACACATCATAATTAATTGTTTTGGCGTATTTGAGACCTCTTAACATTCTCCAACAAAACGGTTAGTTTTTTTTTAAAAAAACAATGCTTTTATGTGCACATTCTAAAACAACTGAAATATGCTAATTGCGACTTGTTCATTGCAATGATAAATATATATTACATAGTTATGCCATTAACTAGCTATTTTATATAAGAATTTATACATCAAAACCTGACTTTCTTTCTCTACAATATAATATAAATTTTCTCCTCCATTCAAAGCATTTTCACTTGGTTTTCAATCATATGGTTATGAAATTGTGAGAACATGCTAATACGAAATAAAAATGTTTAACTCGATATACTGAATTTATTATACAGAGCACTGAGGAAGACAATGTCTATAATAATAACTATATCATAGCTGATGTTGAATCAGTGATTCAGTTATTTGATACACAAGTTTCGAGTCATAGAGATTCGTTCTCGCGTTCAACGAGACGGATTCCGAAGTTCATTGCAATGGAGCACTCCTCTTGAGTTCTCGCTCTGCAGATGACAAGCAAAGCGCCAGACCTCGCCAGAACATTCTTTTCATCATCGTTTTGTTTCAATTTTGGGGAACGGTGTACAACGATACATGGAGCTTCAGTGTGACATGTGTTGCAAATTATAAAGTAATGCATTCTAAGCAACTACAACGTGTAAAACTGTTCAAAATAACTAGCAAACATTTAAGCAAGATGTACTTAACCTAAAATTCCACACTCCATTGCACTTTCTTTGCCACTGCAGGCTATGGAAACTAGCCGCAGCGGCGGCTGATGTGGAGTTAACATAGCAGAGCTGGTGCTGGTTCTTTGTTGAAAGTAGAAATCCAGCCACATTAAATATTTCACGGCCACATTAAAATATGATACTATTGACGTGATACTAATAAAAGATCCGATGGACTTTGCATCAATGTGCGGAAGGAATACCAAATAATTTTTTTAAGGATACTGAAGGATATACGAAAGAAACAAATTCAGGAAAAATATTGTAATCTATAGTCAGATTGGTTGTCATTGATCTCTTTATAATACGAGTTTTTCAGATAATACACACATCTTTTAAACTATTGTTCATAAAAATGGGAAATAATCTTTCCTCGATAGCATTACCACTACAAATAATTTTCCGTATTTTTATATCTTGTAAATAAATATCACTTCTGTAATTAAACCTTTGTCTTCTGTATCCTGTCCCACACGTGACGCAAATACTCTACTGCCTGCGTTTCGTTTTGTAGCACTCTGCCTTCGCATTTGTTCACCTTATTTTGCCCTTCGTTCTAGTGCAGGCTCAAGACTATGCCTTGAGCAGCATACTGAAGAGACTGCTGAGATAAAGACCGCCCGCCTTTGAATTCGCCAAGTAGCAAGTCTCACCTTTCGAACGTAGTGAAGGTTCCCAGGAGAACGGAACCCTAAAAAATGTACGAGAAAGCTTCAAACGATCTCATTAAGTACTTTACGGAGAGAGGAAGAATATCACGAAGCATTTGGAAACCAGGGGTTATGACACGCATATCATGGTTGCGGGCAAGGTAACTAGCTTTCTAGAGTTTGCAGGCACTGGGTCCAGAGCGACTAGCATGAGATTTAAAACGAAGTGTTGCGCAAATCCCTTCATGCTGGCGGTACGTCACTGAATAACTGCCCCCTGTACGTTTAGAGAAGTCGGTTGATAGTTATTGCATTAAATATATCTATTAATTTCCCTTTTATCTACTAGAGCAAACAAATGGACCATTAAAATATAAAAATACGTCAATTAGATTTCAAATATTCAACAGAGTAAAATTAAACAGATTGAATCATGTTTACTCAAGAGTGCAATAATTGCTTTAACTTCTTGATGAAGTGCAGATTAGGAGGGTTAACAGACATATATTCTTGAATAAGCTGGCCATTTGTAAGACGAATTTGTAAGAGAACTGTTGACGTATATAGCCTTGCTAATTTATTTCACATTATTGCTATATACAACACACTAATAAATTATTTAATAAAATATAACACAAAACGAAAACAAGGAAAGTATTGACCATTTATTCCTGCCACTTAGAAAAAATATTTATAAAAGACAGAACGTAAAAAGAAAATAAACACGAAATAGTAATAAATAATGAATAGCATCATCATAATTCTTATCTCAGATGTTTGATAGAAGAAATCTCGCAAATGCGTTTCATTTCATGATTACATTTACATTTTCCACGCCCCACGCCGTTTCAGCCTGCACAAGTGCCTTATTCTCTGGATGTGGAGGGGGAACGCGAGCGGACGTGGCCTGAGCTCGCAGAGCGCCGAACGCCCTTGGCGTGCAGCTAGCGCAGTCACGGGTTGACATGCCTGCTTCACGCATCTATGATGCTCAGTTATCGAGTTATGCCCGATCGCAATGGCGGCTGGTCTCTAAGTGCATTCTCACTCATAAATAAAAAGAGTACGTTTGAAAATCTCGGATTCATGTTTACCATTAAAAACGCTTGTAAGTTGAATAACGATCAGCTTTGATTTTTCTTAACATGCACGCATTTGAATAGAGTTCAGTTTTGATTTTTCTAAACACGCACGCATACACACCAATATCTGGAATGGTCTGGGGTTTGTGCTGTTGTCAACGGGAAAATCTGATGGCGTCACGCAGAGAACGAGAATTCGTGATATGCGCATCTGCTTAAATGCTTGCCATTTGAGCTCTTGAAGGCTGCGATAATCACAGCAATTTACTAAATGCATTCACTGCGGTGTTAGCAACAGCGCCGGGCGTTAGGTTGTTAGTGATACAGGTGTTAGTGTTACTGTGAGGAAAACGTGACTCTCATTAGCAAAGTGAGCATGCAATAGAGTACTTTCAGAGCATGAAGGGTTTTATGTGTTTTATTCACTCACTCTATTAAATCTCCTGACAAAGTAGTTTTATACAAAATGACAACCAGTGTTTCCTCATTTATTGACGGTCGTCAGTGCCGTAGCTCGGGCTGTTTGCCGCACTTCAGTCTTCGCAGGTTTCTCGTAAAGCACTGGCGCAGTCTGCCAAGGCCCCTAGTGGCGCATCTCCGAGTTGTTGAGAAATTTTGAGATTCGTCAAGACCAGGGAGCAAATTTTAAAGAAATGTCATTTTTCTTTTCACTTTAGAAAAATGGCATTGATAAATTCAATTTATAGTATTACAAAAAGAAATGAGCCATTTTTATTTGTCGTTGTTTCGTATTGTTTTAAAATTCGACTATTAGGCCATTTTTTACCTCTTTCCGAAATTTGTCATTCCAAGCACAAACTAAGCAAAATCAGCTCGTTTTATAAAAAAAATGTACATGACTTTTTTTAAGGAGAAGATTCTTTACAACACACTTTGTTAAAAGCAAAAATCGCTACCTACAATTTTGAGATTTTCAAATGTTCACTTTTGCCTTTTTTAAAAACAGAACAATAGTTGAAAATGGGTCTAGTACATATTCGTTTACCGTCCCTGATTACTTGGGAGGAAAAAAAATTAAAGAAAACATTTGCAGCAATTTCTTAAAAAAAACACTTTATATTTTACGCAAAATGATACGAAAACTGCTCACATCTTCAAAAAACTAAGCATATATGTAAAGATCCGTTTTTAAGGAACAAAATTTATAAAAGAAAAAATATATTTTTAAATAAAATGCCGTTTATGACGAGTTTTTTACTGTACTTTAAAATTCTTAAAACAATATTTCCGTTCAATTATTAGGACACGGAACAATGAAGAAAATGTACTTTAGGTGGCGATAGATGGCAGCTTGCAAAAATATGTGGCAAGTCCCAATAGCTAACCGAGATCAATAGGAAATACAAAACGAATATGGGTAAGTCTGTGCACTTCTGTAGTACCACTTGTTTTACGAAAATGTACCGTTCTACTACAATAGTGTAATAAGAAATGATATATTTTTATGGAAAAGTTTTGGTCTCTTTTGTTGAATTAAAATATTTTGTATTATTCTACATTCATCTTTCTTATGTAGAGTTAATGTGATTTGTTAGGTGTGCAATAATGTAGCAAAATATTTACTTTACTGTCATAAATATCTAAAACTTTCATTATGGTGGTGGTTGCTTCTTACATAAAAAAGAATTTTATTTGGTTTATATTCTGAGGAAGAACTCAATCAATCGATTTATATGAATGTTAGAAAACAAATTTCCTGCTCATCGAAGGAATTTGACCAAAATTTTTAATCATTCTGCCGAGGAAGTTAACTATTTATTCCACTACAAGTTGAAGACCCATCGAATCATTTAAAGTATTTTGAATCATTCTGCTGAGGAATGTAAACTATTTATTCCACTACAAGGTGAAGACCCATCGAATCATTTAAAATGTTCATTGGAAAGATTCTATATTCATAAGGAAATACTTCACGTTTTTACCGCGAAGGTTGGCGCGGTCCCATTTTTTATCCACATTGAGTATCCTTGTATCTCCGTCTCTGTCGCTTCGGCAATAAACACAGACAGTGGCGCGCTCCTGTAAACATCGTTCTCAACTTGGTTGCGATATATTGTGTCAGAAATGAATGTTAATTCTTCCATACAAATTGTGCCAGTTAATAAAATAAAACTCTTTCAAGAATATGTATAAAATGAATAATACTTCTTCCAAACAAATTGTGAAATTTAACAAAATGTAACAACTTCCAGAACGTACAGAAATGAACAATATTTTCTCAATACAAATAGTGCAATTTGACATGTAACGCCTTTCATAATATGTACTGCTCATAGTAATTATATAAATTAACATTAATTGTAAAATTGTAAATAAGTTAACAAATTGTTTTAGTATATACATTTTTAATACTTGAATAAATCAAACAAGCTTCACACGCCTTTAATAGAAATCACTAATTTTCGTAATTGAAATACTAAATACGAGTACAATTTGAAGAATGGTTCAACGATAGTTTGATGGCAAATGTTAACACAAGCTGGCAAATGTGTCTATTGATATTGAGTCGTAAAGTGCCTCCATCATAGAACATTTTTCACATGTGTGCGTTCTTGAGTAAATCTGAAATTAACATCATACCTTTTGTTGACTAGTTGGAGAGGACATCCATGAAAAAATGCCAATCAATCTTACAAGTTTGCAGAAGAGTTGACGATGTTGCCTTTGCCTTAGCAAGCAAAGCCATGGTCTCAAGTGGCCTTTAATTAATGAACAAAACACTGGATTTTTCGAAAGTAATAAACATGTAATACATTCGTCATTGTTGTTTATAATGTTTCCTACTGTTGGTCATCAATTACAACAGATTTGTTGGATGGTGTTAGAACGAAACGTTAATTGAATGAGAGTGCAAAACGGCTTCCTCCGAAGTTTAACGGCACGTGAGCACTGACTCACTGCCTGCTCAGCAGCTGCCGGCGCTCTCCCCACCACAGAGGAGCTGCCAACATGTGCAAGGTCATGCGTTGCCAACATTCCGCGTGGGAGCGAGTGGGAAGAAGGAAAGGAGGAACACGTTCTTTTCGTTTCTGCCACTGAATCCTCTCAAATCCTTAGCTGGTTGCAATTTTGGTTAAAAGAAAACAAGTGAAATTGAAAAAGGCCCCAAGATTATGAAGATGATAAATTACTTATTACAGTTATTACTTTCTCGCTAGTCTAATAAGTTTTCTTGTCTTTTGATAACACAATTTCCGAATTCAGGTTTGCAATATCATCATCTGATGGAATGCAAATATGATCATCAGTCTCAGAGAATATTTCTTCATCTGTAGGATCCCAGTCATCCGAGAAATTTAGATAAACAGACAAGTCTTCATCAGAATTTCCTGCTTCTTACAATTCGTGTCAAACGTGTCGAGTACCTCGATAGTCTTAACGCAGTGATAGCTCACACACCATGAACAAGATATAAACAATAACACTGTACAATACAAACTAAAGAGACGGGGAACGTATTGCATATAGATAAGAGGATTTGCAAGTCCTAAACTTTTTCATTTCCAAGTCCAAACATGTTTCTAAGACTCATATTAGTGTTTGTTTTAATGTAAGTAACGACTTGTTGCGATTTTCACAAGGCAGGGCCAAAGCGACTCGAACACTTATGTGAACCCTTTTTTGTAGCGATCAAAGGGTAAATAATATTTTATTGTTTTATGCAAAATACGATAGATGAATATCCGGACAATAAGGTCATGAAAAACTAAATGCACAGAGCATGAAAGAAAGAAATTGACGATATATAAGACAACAGTTATAAAAAGACACGAAGGACGCCGCAGGGTTACGAGAAAGACAAGTGAAAAGTTTACGTTTTTGAAATGTTTGAAAAAAACAAAAGAATAGAACCAGCAGATATTTATGGCATCTCATACAGTATATTTAGCACTATTTCTACCAAATTTTTAAAGAGAAAATTTAGAGCGGTTTTTGAAAAAATCTTGTTATATAATTTTTTTAAATATCACATATTGCCCGCAATATTGCGCGAAAATTATTAAAATTTTCAAAAAATGTACAGGATCTTAATGAAAGAACTCACTACAGAGAACAAATTTTATTGGAAGGAAAAATCTCTATGTTCAATTTGTAGTTGTAGAAAAACACCCGAAAAATTTCAAAATATTGAAATTTTCAAAAATTTGTAGTTAACTGTAAAAATTGTACATATGCAACCTTTATAAGTGTATTTTACGTTATTTTTCATTATATTAAAGAAAAAATTGATGAGTTTTGTGAGAAAATTTTGAGAATGTCCGGAAGGCTTTATGTAAAGTTTCCTCAAATTTTGAAGAATGTTTTTTTAAAATTTCAATGCTTTGATTTGAGCCAGATGGACAGGTATTTCTTGAATTTGGAAAAATCCCGCTCATGGTTTTGGCACTAGTAGTGTTCACAGACGGACGGACATATTATAGCATTTGAGGAATTCCTCAGGAATCATTTCGCCTTTTTTACTGCCCCAAAGTAAGTTAATTTCCTCGTCTGCAAAACTAAACCAATTGTTTGTAGTGACATTCCTCTTAGACCCTGCAATAGGTTTGCGTGCCCAGGTCTGCACAACGCGTGCCCCCGCGGGCATTGCACACTTACGCCGGCCGTCTGCCCGCGAGAGCTCCTGAAGCTTGCAAGGAGTGGGGGGTAGTTTGCGGGGGGGGGGGGAGAGAAAAAGCGGGAGTGGGGTCGACGCGTAGATTGAATGCCTGTGTCTAATGCAGTGATCCATGTTGTGAAGTAATTTTCTCACCTATTTAAATGGGTAATTACAGAATTTATAGTTACAGGGGCCATATTTCACTATTTGTGTTCTTGTGTACACTAACACATCGACATTTCTTAATTAATTTTACTTTAGGCTCATTGTAACTCAAACAATATTTTAAAACAGAGGCCTCTTTTAAAAGTGTATCATGTATTTTAACTAACATAAATTTACAATTTATTAAATGATTTTCACCAAGAATATCGTAATCTCCAAAAGATAGCAAAACGGAGGAAATTGTGAGCAATGTTTTATATCGATATCGATATGAAAATGAAATATAGGCAATTTCAAGAAGAGTAATGTTTGTCAGCACATATATTTGTGCTATTTTCTCTCATTATGAAGTTGAATAAGAGATACCAACGAGCAAACTTCTTTAAGGTATATTACGGTTCAGACATGACATTATTATGAGTGATGTTAAATAGAACACAAAACGTTTCATCTTTTTATACGATTCCTAATTGTGTTTGTCAGCAATTAGAGGAGAAACTATTCGTGATTTTCGAAGAATAATATTTTTTAGCTTTGATAGAACCGTCTTTATCAAGTAAACAGTGCTAATGAAACAAGAATTCATTACTATCATTATAAAAAAATCAATGTTACAATTTTGTGTTTAGAATTACGCTAAATTTGCAATTACATTGTAGCGTTCAATGCAAATTATATTACCAGCCCTACAAACAATTATAATTCGGGTATCTAAATCAAATATGTATGTCTAATTCGTTTTATGTTCACATTGTCATACATCGATTACTAACATCTCCAACATTTCTAAAGTTAATGAAATTATCTTTTGGTATTAGTTCGTCATATGCTGGCAATTGCTCTTTCAATTTACGCGCTGCGGCTGGAATGGCGCAATCTCATTGGCGGGCCCCGCTCCTCGAATGTCTGATCCCCACCCATCCTCCCAGAGGCCCGGGTTTGCACTCGAGTTGCTCGCGCGCGGTCTGGGCTTTCAACGTGCTCAGTCCAAAGGCCTGTCAAAGTGCAAAATGCTGGACAGGCCTGGCTTACACGAAACTATTTTTTTCTCTTCTTCAGTTGGATTGTCTACACGAATTGGGCGACCTATTACAATATTTTGAAAGTAAATATATCAAATATACATGTGGGAAGAAAACTGCCCGTCTCGCAGACTGCCACGATTTCCAAAAACGCCCCTTCAAAGCCGCCTGCTTCAGCAGAAGCAAATAAAACCCCGCCGAGCGATAGAAGTGGGCCAAGTTACTCTGACGGACGACGCTCTCGCTCACTCATATCAGCCGCTATTGCATAAAACAACTTGGCGCCTGTTACACCCAGGTTTTCATATGCGTGTTAATTGCATGGTCATTGAACTGCAATCAACTGATTGCCTCCCTCTCCAACGTGGAGTTGTTGCACTGCCCGCGCTTGTTCCAATCGGAGACGCACCTGCACTTGTGGAGAGGCAGCCGAGAGGTGGGTGTGGCCAGCTGCTCCGCGCCGCCTCCGCTCGCGCTGCCTGCCTCAGCGGTTCCTCTCGCACTGCGGCGGCACGGCGGCGGCGGCGGTGGAGGAGGGGGCGTGGCGCTGGAATGCCCCGCTATCGCGCGGCGGCCGTGATAACCAGACGCAGGCTTCCTCCAGTGATAGCGACCCGCTTTCCGGGTTGCATGACCGCCTCCTCGAGTTCGCAAATGACGCCGCTACTGCGGGACTAATTTAAGCCTTAGTCACTGGCATGCGAAATGCACACAGTTCTTGTGTTGGACTGGGGCCAACACGCTGTTCGCTATCAAAGAACCGCTTGATGTGCATGTGACCGTAGACACCTGCACCGAACGCAGCCTGAATTCACTTTTAAGTCTACCGAGTGCCCACAAATTACGTACGCATCTCATAACTTCTTGGCGGTTCACGATATCGAATCGTGGTTTTCGCTCATAATACTGAATCATGCAGCGAGACAGCGCGTCGCAGAGATATTGTTCGAAATGTTTTATCTTCGATTTCTTTAATGTGTGACCGTTCCATTGTGCCTCTATCCGAACTATAGTTATTCTCACATCAATTATCTGAAATTCCATAAACCTGTTTAAATCTAATCTTACCGGCACCAGCGGCTTTGGCGCTGGAATATTTATATTAGGATCGAGGGCTGACGTCCCTCCGGTACAGGATAAGGGAATAATATTTGTCATTATCTCTTGGTGATGGGAAGGGAAATTACCTTTCCTTATCTACAGACAAAAACATACATATGATTGAAATATATTCGGCACCGTTACCAGTAATTCCGTTAATTTATTCTAATGAATATAAAGTTTATCTCTTTCTCCTCTAATTTTAATTTTTACAAACTTTGTTATTATGATGATTACAAATGATGATGATGGCCATCGAAACTCAGTAACGCTAATGCTTTTATAAAATCTTGCCTCTTCTTAATTTTACTTATTAACTAAACATTCTTGGCCTCGAACAATTTACTTCTGTAAGGCCCCTTTGTTTTTAATACTTAATTTCTCAACTTTCCTGCTGTGAGGAAGCACTGTAATCGCGCGCTGAGAAGAGTCACTCAGCCCGTTGCGTCGTTCTTCCGCCATTTCTGGGATTCCCCGTTGAAATCGATCTGCTTATGTTTTTGTTTACCGTCCGCATCCTACTTCCATTAGCTGCCTACGTTGCGCCTCAAAATTCCCATCTACCAACACGACATAACCTAATTTATTAAGGTTTCGCGGATGCGCATCTTCCGACAACCAGATCAGACGAAATCTTTCTCAAAACATTTTTATGCCATTCGCGGCGACACGTTTTCACTCTACCAAAACACGAAAATTGCCCGAACATGCTACACCATGTTTTCGGCGGGAGATCTATCACCCCTCTGTCTTCTTCAGTCAGTCTAGTCTTTCGATTGTTTTTTCCAACAATTAAATACCTCCTTTTTTTTATTGTGCCGAGTCCCAATGAAGGGGGGGGGGGCAGCTCCGCCGCCTCGCTGGCGCCCTAACGACCTATTACCCGCCGACAGCCAGCGCGCTCTTCGGGCTCCGGAAGCTGCCGTCTGGCGCCGCGACACGCGCGGAAAATGAGCTGTCGGGGAGGAGTGAGTGGCGGTAAAGCTGACATTGGTAGGAAAAGTCTGACGTGATTCGTTCATC